ATCATATGGTGAAAAACTGACTTAGAAAAATAAATCTGTTCTTTTTTTTCTTATAAAAGGTTAAATAAAACACATACTGGTGGTAATTTTTGACTGTAATGTTACAAAGGGCACCACATACCCATTCTTCATGATATTAGATGTTTAACTGATCATACTGTACATGTCTCACCCTCATTAATCCTAACTTCCTCTCCTCTTCCTCCATCCCTCTACTCTTTACTGGCAATCCTAATCTCTTCCCACCCCATAATATCTCTGTAATGTCTTTGTCTTTAACTCCACCCCTCCATCTCACTGCGCTTTGTAGGTGGAGGCCAAGGCCTCCCTCCATGGAGCGTCCTCCTATGATACCCCGCTGATGCGCCACATTAAGAAAATGAATGAAGTGACTAGTGATGTAAGGAGGCTCATGTGCTGAAACTACAGGGCTACTGCTATATGTTTGTCCACTCTGTCTACACGTTTACTTTGTCTCAAATGGACACAGAAAGAGGTTGTTATTTTAAAACAAGGCTGACAGAACGTTTTAATCAACAAGGAGCTACAAGTTTGATCCACGTTATCCTTTCTTGTCTCCCTGTTTGTCCTCCTGACTCTGTGTGCACCCTTTGCTTCTTCATCTTTGCTGTCATGCTGCGGCTTAGTGCTGAACACACTCATTACTGCAGTGGTTGTGTTACTACTTAATGCTCGTGCCTTTTAAGAAACATTTGCCCTTAAAGATTTCATACTTGTACTTATGACTGTTAGAAACAAAGAGGACTAGGAAGTCAGCAAGTTATCACTGGATTATTGTCCAAAACATGTTTTCTGAAATACTTATTATCTGCTTCATGATGACTTTCATGATCTTTTGACACTAGGGGGCAGCAGCATCCAATAAACTCACACTGGTTCTATGTGTGGTCGATAGATAGATAGATAGATAGATAGATAGATAGATAGATAGATAGATAGATAGATAGATAGATAGATAGATAGATAGATAGATAGATAGAT